TAAAGTCTTCTGAGGCAATAAAGTGAATCATTGATTAAAAAAAGAATTTTTTTTAATTTTTATGAATACGTTCCTAAACGTATTCATAAAAAACTTTTTCTTGTGATTGGACATTTTTATTTTTCGGTTTACTTTAATTATATTTTCAATAAAAATTTATTTATTATTATCCAAGTGACCGTTTTCAGTACGTAATAATTTAAAAAATGTACTGCTATATTGGATCCGCTCCGAAAACCCTCGAGTAATCATTTTGATGAGTTCAGCTTAACTTAATTTATAAAAGCGTTTGGTATAGATCGAAATCACTCGAAAGGTTACTCAAAATGAAAATGGAATTTTGTTCACTATATTTAATGCAGAATTGTCATTTTTCATTCGATCGAGCTCTACTAAGGCTCAAAAATTTTTCTAGACAAGTAAATTATCAATAAAAGAATTTAACTTTTTTTGTTACTTAGTTTGAAAAAATGAGCTGAATTAAGACAAATATTAAGGCTTGAAATATGAACTTTAAACGACAGTAAATCTTTCAGTGTTAAATCAATTTTATTCTATAAAGTTTTTATTAAATTTCGATGAGACTTTTGTCCAACAGGTGAGTTTAAGAGATGTCAATTAATAAAGTATATTTTTACTGATACAGGAAAACTGCACTAAAAAAATGTTTTTTCTCTCAAAAACCACTTAATAATAGAAAAAATGTTTTGATTAATTGACACAAAAAAGGTTTTTTGGTAAACCAGTGTTTGTTATTCAGATATGCTGATCAAAATCAATTAATTTGTTCGTACAGAATATCTGACGAAATATCGTTCTTTATAACGAATATAATAAAACTAATTATGATGTGAATTCTATTTATGGTATAAAGTGTATATGGGCAATTCCACGCAAGATTTACCTATGACCTTGAAAATTCGGTTAAACATATTTTTTTCTCAATCTATATGGAAAAAAAAGAAATACGTGTTTTTTTATTTTTGTTTAATCGCCCAAATTATCGAGTTATGAATTTTCGAAATTTTGGATTTGTAACTGTAGACATATTTTCAGTAGCTTATAAGTCTGAAAATATTAAGTATAGAAAAAACTTGTCAAGGAATGAAAGTTTTAGTTTTCTTTCAACTTTTAAGAAATGTAAAAAAAAATTTTTTTTTTTAATTTTTTATTAAAAAAAAATTTTTTTTTTATAAACAAATTAATTTTTTTTAACTTTGGACCCTTTTCTTTTTTATTTTTTTTAAATTTATTTATACCTTATAATATACAGAAGATTTTCCAAAAAGTTTTGGAGTGGGCCGACGCGTTTAATGAGTTGTACAAAATTTTCAAAAATCACGTGCAAGGTGCTCGTGTTCTACGAAACGCCTCACAATGGAATTTTTTTACAATTTACTTCTCAAAAAATGTCTACAGACTAAAATTTAATCGATTCGAGTGTTTTTTGTTTTAAATAAAAGGAGAACAATTTCTGAACATATCCCTCCATGCAAACCTAAGAATCTTCAATTATTTATAATTTTTTTTAAATACAAAAAGTTAACAAATTAGTTGTGTAGTTTCCTTTAAAAATGAATGATTATTTTCTTATTTTGCTACTACACATGTCCTAAATCAGATTCAATTAATATAATATACGACCACCAAATAAATAGTAAAACATAAAATAATTTATCTAAACACTTATAAACAATATTAGTTAACAAATAGTTAACTTTGGTTCTTCTCCATAAAAAAACTTTGTTCTTTCATATTCATATTATACTTTAGGTTCATTTAATAAATACATCTTCCTTTCGTTAAAAAACTATTTTTAATTGTTATAAACAATAATAGTTAACAAATAATGAACTTTGGTTCCTCTGCACCAAAAAGAATTTTTTCCATAGTTATCATTGAAGTTTATTACAAAGAATATATGTTAAAAAAAAGTGAACGTATGAAATAGTTTGTTCAATAACTATAAACAATTTAATATATATAAATTTGTATTAAATGTTTTTTTTCTTTCCATGTGTTTTTTAAATTAAAATAAAAAAATTAATTAAAATAAAATAAATGCAATTAATATATATTCTAAACATTAAAATGTTTATTGCTTTATTTTGAGACAAACATTCTTTGCAATGAACTTCAATGAAAACTATGAAAAAAATTCTTTTTGGTGCAGAGGAACCAAAGTTCATTATTTGTTAACTATTATTGTTTATAACAATTAAAAATAGTTTTTTAACGAAAGGGAGATGTATTCATTAAATGAACCTAAAGTACAATATGAATATGAAAGAACAAAGTTTTTTTATGGAGAGGAACCAAAGTTAACTATTTGTTAACTAATATTGTTTATAAGTGTTTAGATAAATTATTTTATGTTTTACTATTTATCTGGTGGTCATATATTATATTAATTGAATCTGATTTAGGACATGTGTAGTAGCAAAATAAGAAAATAATCATTCATTTTTAAAGGAAACTACACAACTAATTTGTTAACTTTTTGTATTTAAAAAAAAATTATAAACAATTTAAGATTCTTAGGTTTGCATGGAGGGATATGTTCAGAAATTGTTCTCCTTTTATTTAAAACAAAAAACACTCGAATCGATTAAAAATTTTAGTCTGTAGATATTTTTTGAGAAGTAAATTGTAAAAAAATTCCATTGTGAGGCGTTTCGTAGAACACGAGCACCCACGGTTGTCTTCAAGCACTTTTAGGTTTACCTAAAATGAGTCAAAATTGTGCTAACGCAGTTTTATCTGGAATCGGCGCAAGATTCCAATTTTTCATTTCCGAAAATCGTAGCTGATTCTTTTTTCGAAAAAAACCAAAAAAACATATATATATGGGCAATTCCACGTGAGATTTTAGTCGACCTCTTAAAATCGGCCAAAAATATTTTTTTTCTATTCTGTATTGAAAAAAAACAGATACGTATTTTTTTATTTTTGTTTAATTGTCCAAATTCTCGAGTTATGAATTTTCGAAATTTTGGACTTGTAATTGTAGACCTATATTTAGTAGCTTATAAGTCCGAAAATATTGAGTTTAGGAAAAATTTGTCACAGAATGAAAGTTTTAGTTTTCTTTCGACTTTTAAGAAATGTAAACAAAAAATTTTTTTTAAATTTTTTATTAAAAAAAATTTTTTTTTTAATTTTTTATTTAAAAATTTTTTTTTTTATTCAAAAATTTTTTTTTTTTATAAACAAATTAATTTTTATTAACTTTAGCCCGGATTTTTTTTATTTTTTTAAAATTTATTTATTCCTTATAATATAAAGAAGATTTTCCAAAAAATCCCGAGGTGGGACTGATGTGTTGAATGAGTTTTAAAACATTTTCAAAAATTACTTGCAATCATCACAGTGGGATTTTTTTTTACAATTAACTTCTAAAATTGTCTATACAGCGTAGATCCTTTAATTTAAAAAAAGAACTCTCAAATAGATTAAAATTATACACTGTAGACAGTTTTAAAAAGTTAATTGTAAAAAAATCCCACTGTGATGCTTGCAAGTGATTTTTGAAAATGTTTTAAAACTCATTCAACACATCAGTCCCACCTCGGGATTTTTTGAAAAATCTTCCATATATTATAAGGAATAAATAAATTTAAAAAAAATAAAAAAAATTCGGGCTAAAGTTAAAAAAAATTATTTTGTTTATAACAAAAAAATTTTTTTAATAAAAATTTTTAAAAAATTAACAAAAAATTTTTTTGTTTACATTTCTTAAAAGTCGAAAGAAAACTAAAAGTTTCATTCTTTGACAACTTTTTCCTAAACTGAATAATTTCGGACTTATAAGCTACTAAATATAGGTCTACAATTACAAGTCCAAAATTTCGAAAATTCATAACTCTAAAATTTGGACAATTAAACAAAAATAAAAAAATACGTATCTGTTTTTTTCAATACAGAATAGAAAAAAAATATTTTTGGTCGATTTCAAGACGTCGACTAAAATCTCACGTGGAATTGCCCATATATATATATGTTTTTTTGGTTTTTTTCGAAAAAAGAATCAGCTACGATTTTCGGAAATGAAAATTTGGAATCTTGGGCCGATTCCCGATAAAACTGCGTTAGCACAATTTTGACTCATTTTAGGTAAACCTAAAAGTGCTTGAAGACCACCGTGCACCTTGCACGTGATTTTTGAAAATTTTGTACAACTCATTAAACGCGTCGGCCCACTCCAAAACTTTTTGAAAAATCTTCTGCATATTATAAGGTATAAATAAATTTAAAAAAAATAAAAAAGAAAAGGGTCCAAAGTTAAAAAAAATTAATTTGTTTATAAAAAAAAAATTTTTTTTAATAAAAAATTTAAAAAAATTTTTTTTACATTTCTTAAAAGTTGAAAGAAAACTAAAACTTTCATTTCTTGACAAGTTTTTTCTATACTCAATATTTTCAGACTTATAAGCTACTGAAAATATGTCTACAGTTACAAATCCAAAATTTCGAAAATTCATAATTCGAAAATTTGGGCGATTAAACAAAAATAAAAAAACACGTATTTCTTTTTTTTCCATATAGATTGAGAAAAAAATATGTTTAACCGAATTTTCAAGGTCATAGGTAAATCTTGCGTGGAATTGCCCATATATAGGGGATAATATATAAGTTAGATTTATAAAACTCCTTATTGAGTGCACTTACTATAATCCATTGCGTAAAATACTTTTTGATACGCAAATAATGCTATCTATATAACTTTCAACTTTAATACTACCATTGATATGCTTTATTTAGGATTGTTTTAAGTTTGTTAACAAACTTTATACACAATTTTTTTATAATCGAGTATTTGGTATGAAAGGGAATATATTCTACATTAAGACAGTTAACGTGAATAAATAAGCAATTCATAATCATTTTCATAAATTTTTTTTTTTTTGCAAATAGCGTCGACATCTTCCGTTTAGACTTCCAAACTGACGTTCGCGCTCAATATATTGAACCACCATCGTGCGCACGTACAGACTTGAGGCATTTTTGCCTTTATATGTTTGTCACAGGTTGTACTTGACATCAATATATTTTGCAGGACAGGTGGATTTTTATTCACTTGTCCTCTGTACGGACATACAGTGGATACTTTACCTATTATTGATACACGTGTTTGTAGGCCAATTGAAGGCTAAAAATATGAATACAATATGCATGTGCGTTCTCAGGTTAGAATTTCTCCTCAAGGTTCCGCGAATATAGTACGCTTGCGTCCTACAAACACTATATGAAGATTACTTTTTTTTGCAGTATTTATCGCAGTTAGCTTTCGTCTATACTGTATCGTGTGCGCGCATCATTCATTTCTCTTAAACATGCCTCTGTAAACAAAAGATAAATCAGTCTCGAGACTCACATGTCACCATGCTTACTCAAAAGGACATTCGCCTAAAGAGGATGGAACCTCACTTCTGGATTAGCTCTTTAAGAATTTATATATATATATAGATAAGTAGAAAATGTTTCAAGAACAAGAAATTATTCATCGTGGCAGTAGAGTAAAGGGTAGATACATACATGGATACTTTCTTTTGATAAACTTTAAAATAGAATGGAATTTTAATCTAGATATAAAAAATGTTATTCGACAAAAACGTATGTCTGTTATTTTGTTTACAGAAAATGGCTGCTGACGAAACATTTAAAACTCTTCAAAATGAGGAATCTAAGAGACATATCCGACAAAAGGGAAATAAAAAGAGTGCATTTTCTGTCGATAATCTAGACACCACCCCGTCACCCACTGGTTATCGTGACTATAAACCACCAGCTGAGGTTCTTGGTGGTCATTATCATTCGGCGATTGACAAAACAAAACCTGTTGACGTGATTGACAAAGGTTCATTGAGAAGGAAGCCAAAAGAGCAAGATACAAATCGAACACACAAAGTTAGTGCGCACTATTTGCAAAGTTAATTTAACTAAAAATAGAAATTTATTTCATCCCAAATAATCCGTCACTCATCTGTTATCAAATAATTATCTGATTTAAATATATACCTAACCATTTTTATTTGAAGCAAAGAAATATAATTTTGATATTTTTTGGGGGGTTTTTGATATTGAAATGGTTTCTAATGTATTTTTGTCCGCTGAACACGATTTCGGGAGCCACAGTAGACTAGCACGTCAGAATTTTGAGAAAAGTGAGGTTGAAGACTTCAAAAACACGTTTTCGGAAGGTAAAGTATTTTTTTCACTTTAACCTAAAGTCTTAAAGTTATTCGTGATGTCTTTAATGAAAGCTTGAATTGTATACTTCAAGACTTTAAGCATATGTTGATCTCATAGTATACAATTTAAGATTTAACTTAAAATTTCACGGAAATCTCTGAAACGTTAAGTTAAAGGGGAAAAAATTAAAATACTAAAAATATGCGGATATGAGTCTTAAAGTGATCATTGCAAGATGTAATTTAGAACCTTAATAGCAGTCTCTAACATATCGGGACTTAAAAGTACACGGAAAGAGAATATATATTAAATTTTGTAAAAGTATTTTACAAATTGGGGAAAAAGTGCAACAAAGCGAAATTTTGATATAGAAAATACTAAACTTTAAAAAAAGTTTTGTAAAATTTATTTAAGTTATATTAGAATTTAATTAATATTCTTGATATTTGATATAATTATACTAAATTTCACATAAGTTTTTTTAAAGTTTAGTATTTTTTATATCAAAATTTCGCTTTGTCGCACTTTTTCCCCAATTTGAAAATATTTTTACAAAATTTAATATATATTCTCTCTCCGTGTACACTTTTTTGTTTATTTTAGGTTGACAGAAATATAGCAAACAAGTTGTTCATTTCATGACCATTTTGCATCCTCATTAAGATAAACAAACTTCTTTTAAAAAAAGCAAAAAATGTCCATGATATGAATATAGATTTCAAATCGTTTTACGAACATTTGCTGTAATTCAAATTTTATATATATGCTAATCGCTTCATTTTTTATTGTAGAATAACACAGGTCAACAAAAGATACTTACTTTTTTTTATAAGATATCCGAATGGTTTCCGATGAATTTTTAGACGCTGAACACGATCCCGACTTCCAAAATTGCCCATCACGTCAGGATTTTAAGAAAATTGGGGGTAAAGACCCTAAAAACGTGTTTTTGAGGGTTTTCAACATTTTTTCTCTCTCTTTAACCTGAGGTGTTAGAGACTTCCACAAGGTTTTAAATTAAAGCTTGTAATGTGCAGTACAAGACCCATGTCCATATGATAAAAAAAATTAAATTTTTTCTTTAAAAATGGTGTTCCACACATAAATATATCAAAACATTTACAGGAACTAGAACAAAAAATATCTTCATCTAGCAGTTTTGCTAGATCAAGTCGTATTTGATTTTTATGAGCATGAAAAGAACCCCTAAATGAAAGGTGACAAGATATGTTTTAAAAATCATTAATTTTCTATAAAATTCTGTATCTAGAGGTTATCAAGGTCAATGACGACGAGACTGATCACAGGTTTTTAGAATTCAAATTGGCGGATCCAATATGTCGGTTAAAATTTAAAAGCATTTATTTTTGTAAATCTTCGTATCTAAAAAGTTTTAGGGGTTGGTGTTTAGGAATCTGAAGTCAGATTTTTTAATTCGAAATGATAGATTTGAAATTATATTTGGTTTATAAGTTGTATATATCAATTTTCCAATCTTTGGATTCTAATGGAAACTTTGTTGATAAATAAAAGTTTTGCTTAAGGTACTTGTCATAACTTAACCCTTTAACGCCCAGTGGTACATACGCTGTACCACAAATGCATTAAAGTCATCATAATTTTGAAACTAATACATATTACTAAAAATTTTGAATTCTTAGCTCTAGTAAAACTCTTCCAGCAGATAATTAAAAAAAACAAAAGTAAAAAAATAATAATAAATAAATAAAATAATAGTAAATAAAAAAAATGTCAAGATACATTTTCTCCTATGACGGACAAAAAAATTTTAAAAAATTAATCAGATTCGTTTAAAACTTGTTACTCGGGGGTTTGTGGGGTCGCTGATTACGAATATGAAGTCAAAATTGCAAAATTCAAAATGGCGGATCCAATATGGCGGACGAAAAAATAAAAAATAATGGGATTTATATGAAACTTGTCACTCGGGGGTTCTTGGGGTCGCTGATTACGAATATGAAGTTAAAATTGCAAAATTTAAAATGGCGGATCCAATATGGCGGACGAAAAAATAAAAAATAATGGGATTTATATGAAACTTGTCACTCGGGGGTTTTTGGGGTCGCTGATTACGAATATGAAGTTAAAATTGCAAAATTCAAAATGGCGGATCCAATATGGCGGACGAAAAAAATAAAAATTAATGGGATTTATATGAAACTTGTCACTCGGGGGTTCTTGGGGTCGCTGATTACGAATATGAAGTTAAAATTGCAAAATTCAAAATGGCGGATACAATATGGCGGACGAAAAAATAAAAATAATGGGATTTATATGAAACTTGTCACTCGGGGGTTCTTGGGGTCGCTGATTACGAATATGAAGTTAAAATTGCAAAATTCAAAATGGCGGATACAATATGAAAAAAAAATAACAAATTAATGGAATTGACATTAAATTTGATGCTTTGGGTTTTTTGGGTTTCTGAAGTTAGAATGTTAAGAATTATTATGGTGGATTTAATAGGGCGAATTATGTTAAATAAAAGTAAGAAATTTAATCCATTTGTGAAAGAAAACCTGGAACGCTTGACTCGAACGAAAAAGAACAAATGAAAATCAGCTGGCCAATCAATAAAAACAATTGACAACCCTGGAGCGCATGACTTGAATGAAAAAGAACAAATGATAGTTAGCTGGTAACAATATTCAAGTAAATCCTATTTAATTTTTAATTCTCGTCCGCCATTTTGGATCCGCCATTTTGAATTTTGCAATTTCGACTTCATATTCGTAATCAGCGACCCCAAAAACCCCCGAGTGACAAGTTTCATATAAGTCCTGTTAATTTTTAATTTTTTCGTCCGCCATATTGGATCCGCCATTTTGAATTTTGCAATTTTGTTTTCATATTCGTAATCAGCGACCCAAAAAACCCCCGAGTGACAAGTTTCATATGAATCCCATTTTTTTTATTTTTTCATCCGCCATATTGGATCAGCCATTTTGAATTTTGCAATTTTGACTTCAGATTCGTAATCAGCGACCCCAAAAACCATTATATACCAAGTGTGGTTGAAATTAAATCGGTGGAAATAATTCGGGCTTTAAAGGGTTAAAAAAATAATTTCAAAATATAGTGCATAAACCATGAAACGAAACTTTAAAGACAAGAATATTAAGCCTTGACACATAAATATTCTCAGAGTAGTTTATATTTTTTGTTTTTTCAGTGTGAAATTTATTAACGTTCAAAGTAACGATAAAATGAAGGATCGTTAACTTTAAACGTAAAAATTCTGAATATTAATATAAAATATTTATAAAAAATATTTTGTTCACTTAACATTTGAAAAATTTTTCTATTATTTTAACTGAACAAGTTTAGCAAATTTTTTTATAGGAACCCTGTAATTTTTATTACTTCGCACAATTTTCATTTAAGATTATTATAATGTTTGAATCTACATTAATTTCATTTTCAACTTTATATACTGTAAATTATATAATTATTATTAAGTTTTGTACTTTTTGTCTTATATATAATTTTGACTTAAAAATTAATTCAAACTGATGTCAAATTTAGTAATATGAAAGTTATGTAACAAAGTTTCATATAATCAATGATCAATCATTTTTCCCGCAGACAATATTGTTGGGTGACAGTGGAGTTGGAAAAACTTCGTTGCTCGTTCAGTTCGATACCGGAAGTTTTCAACAAGGAAACTTTGCAGCCACTGTTGGAATTGGTTTCACGGTAAAAAAAATATATATCATTATAGTAGCCATTAAATATACCTTCTTTGCCGTTAATTTAAGAATATAGTATACAGCAATTTTAATTATTATATTATATTTTGCATTTATTAATATAATATAATATAATATAATATAATATGTTTTGGTCGTTTAAAAATTGAAAATCATGCTCGACAACCCCTAGAAAACTACCTTTGAAGTCAAATAATCACATCCTGATGACACAAATATGGATAAAGACTCGCCCACTTAAACCCTCCCTCAACACATAACTAATCGTAGATACTGACATTTGTTTTGAAAAATTAAAAAAATAATTTTTACTGATACTGTAGGTACGAAAATTATAAAAAAATATTTTTAGAATACACAAATATTGATAAAAATAGTAATCTAAATAAATAATCAACCCCTCAAATACTACCGCAATGTCAAATAAATACACTCCTAGATGATAAAAATTTTTCAAAAACATTAAAAATGTATCTGAAAATTCTAAAAGCTTTAAAACTTATAAAAAAGTATAAGCTGCACGAATATAGTTGAATAAAAGTAAACAACTTTTCAGAATCATTCTTACGTTTTCTTTTGTAGTTCTTGAATAAATTCTTAGATTTCGTTATGCGGATTTTGCGGAAAAGATTTTTTTTATCTACTTCTTACTTATTATACGTTTCTTTGATAGTTTTTGTCAATATCTCGCCGCGTCGTACGGAATGAACAAAATTCATTTTTATTATCTACTTTTTTCTTTTTTGTTTTATTTCTTAGTTCTTGTCAATTTCTAGATTTCGTTGTAAAGAATCACAAAACAAATATTTTTAAACACGAGAATCTACTTTTTATTTTCATATTTTTTAGTAGCTCATTTCATTTTTTAAAAACCTTCAAGTAACAAGTTTCAGGCAATTTAGATTGATTTTTCAAGAAGTCGTCCACCATCTTGGATCCGCCATTTTAATTTTCAAAAAACGAGTATCATATTTCTAATTATCGACCCCGAAGACAAGATTCAGGCGAATTAAATTAATTTTAAAAAATTTTGGTCTTATGGAGGCAGTTTTTGTATTATCCTGGAGGTTCACAGAAGGACAAAATTTTAAAAACCTGACCAAAATTAAAAAAAAGTTTTTGCAAACTCAGAAAATGCTATTTTTATTAGTAGAGGACCCTTAGGAGCATCTAATTTAATAAAATAAAAGGCGCATTTAAAGAAATTTTGATATAATTTTAGCATTTAAATTTTATACTTTGTAGATATAAAAATGTTTAAAAACGTCCACCGTGAGACTTTAAAAAATAATATATTAACCCTTAACATCTAAATATTAAACTTTAATACCTTAATATTCAAATAAGACAGTAGATATTAACGCTTAACATCCAGATATTTACTTTTAATATCTGGATAGCTTTTCCTATGTTAAAGTATAAAAGAATTCAACTTTATAACATCTACATATTTATCTTAAATATTCAGTTTTCTCCGTGTGGATTGTAGCAGAAAATAAAATGATTTATTACACATTTCTTTAAGTAAGTGACTTTGATTTTTCCATTTTTCTCGACGTTATTTTGGGCAATGGCAATTTGCGTTTTTCTTTTTAGTTGGACTAGCAAATACTGTCAATACATTTTCAGGATTTAAATCTTTTACATTACTAACAGTCGTGACTTGTAGAATTTAAATAATAAAATTGAAGCCGGGGAACTGTCTCTTCAGAAAAATCACTTCTTATATGATGAACTTTAATTGTTCTCTTAAAATTCAAATATTTTCTACCCTCCAGTAGTTTAGAAATCTTGTCAATTTCTTCGGAAGTCACAGGTATATAAGTAACTCGATTTTCATTTTCGGAAAAGCCTTTGAGTAATGAATCGAATGAAGCAATATCTCTGCTTTGAGTTACTGATCTGTCTGCTGTTCTTTTGGTTACCCCACCAATTCCATCTGGAGCACCCTTGCCATGACCTGCTTCCGAATAATTCCATGAAAATTTTTGGATATTTGGAAACATTTTTGAAAGTTCGTTTGCAAGAAAAAAAACATCGTTTTATTGCGATACTCTGTAACTAAACCATCGCTTACAAAATGCAGTGTATCAGCAGTATAATGCAGTTGAATGAACTTTAAAATAGGATCTAAATGTTCCCATATTCCAGATACATTATAACACAGATTTTCTGATAAAGTTCAAAAGCATTCTGTTTTTAATTCCGTTCCAGATTTTTTATAAAGAACGACAGTGTGAAGTGAAATCTGTTTTCTCGATCCTCCAAAATGAAAAGATTGAATCTCTTCTGCATATTTCAGATTATAATTTTTATGTTCATTCATTTCGTTAACATTCTTAATGATTTTCTTCGCCTTCTTTTTCTTTTAATATTTCTAACCCTTCAGGAGTTTGTTTTAGTTCTTCATACCTAATTTTTTTCTTTTCTCGTTTCTTTGCAGTTTTTTTCTCGACAACGGCATATTTTTCTATTATAAAAAAGTTTTTTGGTTATATTATTATCAGAAATAAATATTATTAGATTTACATCACATGCAGTACAATATTTTTTCATCGATTAAAAATTGTTAAATTATCGTAATTTAATTCTATTTGATTGCACATAAGAACTAATAGATTGTAAAACACTTTCTGTTTAAAGATGAATTCAAAATTTAAGTAAAACCTTATTTTCTCACGGTTTTCTCAAATCTTTTCAACTTTCACTTTTTTTATAAACTTACTCACAAAAGCAATTGAAAACAGCAAAACATGTGCAAGCATGTGCTAGCCAGAGTCGAGTCTACCTTTTTTTATAACATTGCTTGCGCTCAACCCTGGCTAGCGAATCTCATCATTTTTGACTAAAAAGACTTTTCCAAAAACATGAAAATTAAATCTTAAAGAAAAACATTGCTTTTCTCTCCTCTTTTTCTGGTATCGGTACTTCGGGAAAAGGATAAGGCCTTATTTTCTCAGATCGGGTAGTTAGTTCGCTTTTGCATAAGCTTTCGTCGAGATCTCGCAAAAGTGTAACTTCTAAATGCATAGTCAAACTCACGTGATAGATTTCTAAAATATTGTTAGTTTGTATCATATTGATTTCGAGTTGCTCTCTTAAAAAAGGTTGTCATTTTCTAAACAGTGTTATCATTCCCTTATTTAACGTTATCACTCTATTGAAAATGTTATCATTTACATTAATGTGTTATCCTCTATTTTATACGTGTTATCAACCTACGAACAGTGATGTTATCTTATTTATGAAACAATAATAAACTAACAATTATGTGTACTTTTATGTGTTAATTCTTTTCCGTTCCTCGTTTGAAAAATAAGTGATATTCTCTAAACACTTACCGAAAAAGAAAATCTTTTAATCTTCAACAATTCATTGACAAGATTTATAGGTTTATTTTTCACTGACAGTATATAGGCAATTTATAGTTATATTTAATTGTAACCTGAAATGAACCACCACATGAAAGAGCCAGAGGAATGACGATTTCAATGTTTTTCTATTGTTTCGGTTTAAGTATAAAAAAAATAATAAAAAATAACCATATTTAATATTTACTCATACATTCATACACACTACACACATTTATACACATTCAGTTTCATTTATTGGATCTGATTTCACTTTTATAATTTTTACAAAAATATAATAAGCGCTGCAGCGCAACACTTACGAAGACGATCGTTTTATACTTGTTATGTTCGTATCACATCAAACCGGAACTCAGGGGTGCTATTCTGTGACTTCACTTCACATTCACTTCACTTTCACTTCACTTTCACTTCACTTTCACTTCACTTTCACTTCACTTTCACTTCACTTTCACTTCACTTTCACTTCACATTCACTTCACATTCACTTCATTTTCACTTCACATTCACTTCACTTTCACTTCACTTTTACTTCACATTCACTTCACATTCACTTCACATTCACTTCACTTTCACTTCACATTGAAAGTGAAAAGTGAAGTGAATGTGGAGTGGAAGTGAAGTGAATGTGAAGTGAATGTGAAGTTAATGGGGAGTGAATGTGAAGTGAATGTGAAGTGAATGTGAAGTGAATGTGAAGTGAAAGTGAAGTGAATGTGAAGTGAATGTGAAGTGAAAGTGAAGTGAATGTGAAGTGAATGTGAAGTGAAAGTGAAGTGAATGTGAAGTGAATGTGAAGTGAAAGTGAAGTGAATGTGAAGTGAAAGTGAAGTGAAGTTACAGAATAGCACCCCTGGCAGCGTGAATAGTTTGATATTCTCTGACAATATCGTCCACCAATATTGCATCTACGGAGTATGAAGCAGTCACCTGCTTGCTTTGGTTGTGTTAGAACGTTGTGTGTCAAAGACGAACCAGGGGATTCAGGACATCGTTCTTCTTTCCACACGTATAAAAAAACCACGCTTTAAATTTTCACATATCGGGATTCACAAATGCTCTTTTGAATTCACATTTTTCTCATTAGCAGCGTTATAATAATAATTGGCTTATCTTTTTAAACGTGGTTTTCCGATTATTCTTTGCGCAACTTGTCACAATTTTAATTCTTTATCTTTATATACTTTTGAGTACAATATTTGAATAAAACAAATTAAATATTAAACAAAACTTTAATATTGAGATTACAATTCGTCGAATTAGGCTGTGAAACACTGAGTGCATCTGAATTTATATATTTTTTTATTTTAAATAATTTTATTTTTCAAAAAACGACATCAGAAATTACACAGTAAAAAGTAAATCTTAATTTAAGAGCTGCCTTAAATTCAACACTGTCTGCTATAATGTTAAAGGATACGAAAAACGTGCGTAAATTCAACATTGACTGTCTTAAAAATGTTGCATCTTAATTTAAGGCAGCTTTCGTGCCTTAAAATAAGATTTTCTTTTTACTGTGTAACAATAGAGGTGTTAATTGAGTTAATCAGCAGGATATTTAATAAATATCCCATCCTATATTAAAAATATTAAATATTATTCAGAATATTACTCA